CTCTTTAGTCTCTCTCCTTGTCCTCTCTACTCTCTTTAGTCTCTCTCCTTGTCCTCTCTACTCTCTTTAGTCTCTCTCCTTGTCCTCTCTACTCTCTTTAGTCTCTCTCCTTGTCCTCTCTACTCTCTTTAGTCTCTCTCCTTGTCCTCTCTGCTCTCTTTAGTCTCTCTCCTTGTCCTCTCTACTCTCTTTAGTCTCTTTCCTTGTCCTCTCTACTCTCTTTAGTCTCTCTCCTTGTCCTCTCTACTCTCTTTAGTCTCTCTCCTTGTCCTCTCTACTCTCTTTAGTCTCTCTCCTTGTCCTCTCTGCTCTCTTTAGTCTCTCCTTGTCCTCTCTACTCTCTTTAGTCTCTCTCCTTGTCCTCTCTACTCGCTTTAGTCTCTCCTTGTCCTCTCTACTCTCTTTAGTCTCTCTCCTTGTCCTCTCTACTCTCTTTAGTCTCTCTCCTTGTCCTCTCTACTCTCTTTAGTCTCTCTCCTTGTCCTCTCTACTCTCTTTAGTCTCTCCTTGTCCTCTCTACTCTCTTTAGTCTCTCCTTGTCCTCTCTACTCTCTTTAGTCTCTCTCCTTGTCCTCTCTACTCTCTTTAGTCTCTCTCCTTGTCCTCTCTACTCGCTTTAGTCTCTCCTTGTCCTCTCTACTCTCTTTAGTCTCTCTCCTTGTCCTCTCTACTCTCTTTAGTCTCTCTCCTTGTCCTCTCTACTCTCTTTAGTCTCTCTCCTTGTCCTCTCTACTCTCTTTAGTCTCTCTCCTTGTCCTCTCTACTCTCTTTAGTCTCTCTCCTTGTCCTCTCTACTCTCTTTAGTCTCTCTCCTTGTCCTCTCTGCTCTCTTTAGTCTCTCTCCTTGTCCTCTCTACTCTCTTTAGTCTCTCTCCTTGTCCTCTCTACTCTCTTTAGTCTCTCCTTGTCCTCTCTGCTCTCTTTAGTCTCTCTCCTTGTCCTCTCTACTCTCTTTAGTCTCTCTCCTTGTCCTCTCTGCTCTCTTTAGTCTCTCTCCTTGTCCTCTCTGCTCTCTTTAGTCTCTCTCCTTGTCCTCTCTGCTCTCTTTAGTCTCTCTCCTTGTCCTCTCTACTCTCTTTAGTCTCTCCTTGTCCTCTCTGCTCTCTTTAGTCTCTCTCCTTGTCCTCTCTACTCTCTTTAGTCTCTCTCCTTGTCCTCTCTACTCTCTTTAGTCTCTCTCCTTGTCCTCTCTACTCTCTTTAGTCTCTCCTTGTCCTCTCTACTCTCTTTAGTCTCTCTCCTTGTCCTCTCTACTCTCTTTAGTCTCTCTCCTTGTCCTCTCTACTCTCTTTAGTCTCTCTCCTTGTCCTCTCTACTCTCTTTAGTCTCTCTCCTTGTCCTCTCTGCTCTCTTTAGTCTCTCTCCTTGTCCTCTATTCTCTTTAGTCTCTCTCCTTGTCCTCTCTGCTCTCTTTAGTCTCTCCTTGTCCTCTCTGCTCTCTTTAGTCTCTCTCCTTGTCCTCTCTACTCTCTTTAGTCTCTCCTTGTCCTCTCTACTCTCTTTAGTCTCTCTCCTTGTCCTCTCTGCTCTCTTTAGTCTCTCTCCTTGTCCTCTACTCTCTTTAGTCTCTCTCCTTGTCCTCTCTACTCTCTTTAGTCTCTCTCCTTGTCCTCTCTACTCTCTTTAGTCTCTCTCCTTGTCCTCTACTCTCTTTAGTCTCTCTCCTTGTCCTCTCTGCTCTCTTTAGTCTCTCTCCTTGTCCTCTCTGCTCTCTTTAGTCTCTCTCCTTGTCCTCTCTACTCTCTTTAGTCTCTCTCCTTGTCCTCTCTGCTCTCTTTAGTCTCTCTCCTTGTCCTCTCTACTCTCTTTAGTCTCTCTCCTTGTCCTCTCTGCTCTCTTTAGTCTCTCTCCTTGTCCTCTCTGCTCTCTTTAGTCTCTCTCCTTGTCCTCTCTACTCTCTTTAGTCTCTCCTTGTCCTCTCTACTCTCTTTAGTCTCTCCTTGTCCTCTCTACTCTCTTTAGTCTCTCTCCTTGTCCTCTCTACTCTCTTTAGTCTCTCCTTGTCCTCTCTACTCTCTCCTTGTCCTCTCTACTATCTTTAGTCTCTCTCCTTGTCCTCTCTACTCTCTTTAGTCTCTCTCCTTGTCCTCTCTACTCTCTTTAGTCTCTCTCCTTGTCCTCTCTGCTCTCTTTAGTCTCTCTCCTTGTCCTCTACTCTCTTTAGTCTCTCTCCTTGTCCTCTCTACTCTCTTTAGTCTCTCCTTGTCCTCTCTGCTCTCTTTAGTCTCTCTCCTTGTCCTCTCTACTCTCTTTAGTCTCTCTCCTTGTCCTCTCTACTCTCTTTAGTCTCTCTCCTTGTCCTCTCTACTCTCTTTAGTCTCTCTCCTTGTCCTCTCTGCTCTCTTTAGTCTCTCTCCTTGTCCTCTCTACTCTCTTTAGTCTCTCTCCTTGTCCTCTCTGCTCTCTTTAGTCTCTCTCCTTGTCCTCTCTACTCTCTTTAGTCTCTCCTTGTCCTCTCTACTCTCTTTAGTCTCTCTCCTTGTCCTCTCTACTCTCTTTAGTCTCTCCTTGTCCTCTCTACTCTCTCCTTGTCCTCTCTACTCTCTTTAGTCTCTCTCCTTGTCCTCTCTACTCTCTTTAGTCTCTCTCCTTGTCCTCTCTACTCTCTTTAGTCTCTCTCCTTGTCCTCTCTGCTCTCTTTAGTCTCTCTCCTTGTCCTCTACTCTCTTTAGTCTCTCTCCTTGTCCTCTCTGCTCTCTTTTAGTCTCTCTCCTTGTCCTCTACTCTCTTTAGTCTCTCTCCTTGTCCTCTCTACTCTCTTTAGTCTCTCTCCTTGTCCTCTCTACTCTCTTTAGTCTCTCCTTGTCCTCTCTACTCTCTTTAGTCTCTCTCCTTGTCCTCTCTACTCTCTTTAGTCTCTCTCCTTGTCCTCTCTACTCTCTCCTTGTCCTCTCTACTCTCTTTAGTCTCTCTCCTTGTCCTCTCTGCTCTCTTTAGTCTCTCTCCTTGTCCTCTCTACTCTCTTTAGTCTCTCTCCTTGTCCTCTCTGCTCTCTTTAGTCTCTCTCCTTGTCCTCTCTACTCTCTTTAGTCTCTCCTTGTCCTCTCTACTCTCTTTAGTCTCTCTCCTTGTCCTCTCTACTCTCTTTAGTCTCTCCTTGTCCTCTCTACTCTCTCCTTGTCCTCTCTACTCTCTTTAGTCTCTCTCCTTGTCCTCTCTACTCTCTTTAGTCTCTCTCCTTGTCCTCTCTGCTCTCTATAGTCTCTCTCCTTGTCCTCTACTCTCTTTAGTCTCTCTCCTTGTCCTCTCTACTCTCTTTAGTCTCTCCTTGTCCTCTCTGCTCTCTTTAGTCTCTCTCCTTGTCCTCTCTACTCTCTTTAGTCTCTCTCCTTGTCCTCTCTACTCTCTTTAGTCTCTCTCCTTGTCCTCTCTGCTCTCTTTAGTCTCTCTCCTTGTCCTCTCTACTCTCTTTAGTCTCTCTCCTTGTCCTCTCTACTCTCTTTAGTCTCTCCTTGTCCTCTCTACTCTCTTTAGTCTCTCTCCTTGTCCTCTCTACTCTCTTTAGTCTCTCTCCTTGTCCTCTCTACTCTCTTTAGTCTCTCTCCTTGTCCTCTCTACTCTCTTTAGTCTCTCTCCTTGTCCTCTCTGCTCTCTTTAGTCTCTCTCCTTGTCCTCTCTACTCTCTTTAGTCTCTCTCCTTGTCCTCTCTACTCTCTTTAGTCTCTCCTTGTCCTCTCTGCTCTCTTTAGTCTCTCTCCTTGTCCTGTCTGCTCTCTTCTTTAGTCTCTCTCCTTGTCCTCTCTACTCTCTTTAGTCTCTCTCCTTGTCCTCTCTGCTCTCTTTAGTCTCTCTCCTTGTCCTCTCTGCTCTCTTTAGTCTCTCTCCTTGTCCTCTCTACTCTCTTTAGTCTCTCTCCTTGTCCTCTCTACTCTCTTTAGTCTCTCTCCTTGTCCTCTCTACTCTCTTTAGTCTCTCTCCTTGTCCTCTCTACTCTCTTTAGTCTCTCTCCTTGTCCTCTCTACTCTCTTTAGTCTCTCTCCTTGTCCTCTCTGCTCTCTTTAGTCTCTCTCCTTGTCCTCTCTACTCTCTTTAGTCTCTCTCCTTGTCCTCTCTACTCTCTTTAGTCTCTCCTTGTCCTCTCTGCTCTCTTTAGTCTCTCTCCTTGTCCTGTCTGCTCTCTTCTTTAGTCTCTCTCCTTGTCCTCTCTACTCTCTTTAGTCTCTCTCCTTGTCCTCTCTGCTCTCTTTAGTCTCTCTCCTTGTCCTCTCTCTCTCTCTGTCTCTCTCTCCCTCTCTCTCTCTCTCTCTCTCTCTCTCTCTGTCTGTCTGTCTCTCTCTCTGATTCACGAGAGGCGGAGCTTCATCAGTTTTACCAAAAACCTGTCGACTGTAGAACTTTTTGTGTGAATTGGTTTTGGAGATTTGATCATTTGAACCGAAAGCTCAAAGAAATCACTGAGTAATAATAATAATAATAATAATAATAATAATCTTTTAAACAAACTTAAATTTCTGCTTTATTTTTGGGTTAGTTTTCCCTTAAAGCTGCGGTACGTAACTTTCAAACCTTCACTGAACTCTTTCTATTGGGACAAAATGTTTTCTTCATGCAGTAAAAAGTTGGGTACCCCAGCTTTAAAACCTCTGCATTATTTTTAATCCTTTTGGCCTTTAACATAATCTTAGTTTTAGAAAGTGGAATAAAATGTATAAGTCTGAGGTTTAATATGAAAAAAGAATCGCAGAATCGCCAACACTGCCATCGTGTGGTCGAAGTGGGAAATTACAGCGTTTTTGTTTGTTTGTAATAATCTGATGAACTCTGTGACGGTTTGAAGAACAGATTAAACATGAGTCCAATCCATTTGGAGACGACACTTTAGTTTAAAACCGTGACTTTGGCCCAAAGGAAACTCGTGTCTTTTGCTGCTTTTGTCCCGTTTCTTTACTTTCTTTAAACTTTGTTTTTACATTTACATAAAAAAGGGTTCAGCAAAGTTCTTGTCCCAATCGGAGAAAAACCTCCAAGAACAGACGATAAGATCTTGAATGACTTTAGAGATGAAAGAACAGGAGGTGATGTCACATGTTCGTTTTTCTCCTTCTTTACCTTCTTTGTTTCTTTTATTCAGTTTTATTAGTGACTTCAGAAAAGTGCTGAGCCAGAGCTGAAACTCTGATTTCACTGAAATAACACAATAATAACGGTTTCTCAAAGGTAAAAATCTGTTTTCTGTGATTGTTTTTATGAAACACTGATCTTTTATTTTGAAATCTAAAACATTTAAACTCCTGTAGATTTCAGAGCGACCACACTGCCCCCTACTGGGCGAAGTGGCTACAAACTTCAAATAAAACTAAAATAATCTGACATTGAACCCACGCGTTCTTTAAGTTTCTCTTCTGCTTTTGCTGTTTTTAGTTGAAACCTAAAAACAAAATTGGGCAAAAATGTGTAAATATGTTGTGTAAAAAAAAATGTCAAAATCCAAAATAATATATTGTTGTGATTTATGATTTTCTTACTGCAGTTTTGGTTCCTTTGTTTCTGCTCGATTCCGTGAATGCAATAATTCTTGTTCAGAGCCTCTTTTGGACTTTAGCGAATGTGAATCTTTAAAAACTGTTTTGTTCTGTTTTTTCATCTCTCGCAGAATCGATTGTACATTTTACATTTCGCTGCTAAGATTTTCTAAAGAGACAGAAGCAGAGGCTGTTGGGAAATGTAGTTCTAATAAATTCTCCCCTTGTTTTGCTCGAGGGGTCCTTCTGTGATAAAGCCCAGTGCCTCATCGCTCCTCTTCATCGCTCCTCTTCATTGCTCCTCTTCATTGCTCCTCTTCATCCCACCCTCTTCATCGCTCCTCTTCATTGCTCCTCTTCATCTCACTCTCTTCATCCCACCCTCTTCATCGCTCCTCTTCATCCCACCCTCTTCATCGCTCCTCTTCATCCCACCCTCTTCATCGCTCCTCTTCATCGCTCCTCTTCATCCCACCCTCTTCATCGCTCCTCTTCATCGCTCCTCTTCATCCCACCCTCTTCATCGCTCCTCTACATCCCACCCTCTTCATCGCTCCTCTTCATCGCTCCTCTTCATCGCTCCTCTTCATCGCTCCTCTTCATCCCACCCTCTTCATCGCTCCTCTTCATCGCTCCTCTTCATTACATTTGGGAAGTGCAAAACTGGATTTGTTCAACTACTGTTTTGTTTGTGTGTGTGACTGTGTGCGTGAGAGAGACTGTGTGTGTGTGTGTGTGTGTGTGTGTGTGTGTGTGTGTGTGTGTGTGTGTGTGTGTGTGTGTGTGTGTGTGTGTGTGTGTGTGTGTGTGTGTGTGTGTGTGTGTGTGTGTGTGTGTGTGTGTGTGTGTGTGTTCATATGTTGTTAATAATATTTCAGTTGTTTCCGTGAGTCTGAGTCGTTGCGTCAGGTTTGGTTCAGTCGAACATTTGTTTTCATTAAATCTACTTTGATTCAAGTCTTTTATTTCTTTTCACTTTTCAGAAAAAACATTTTATTGAACAAACACTGTTTAGTGCTAATTAGTGTCTAAATTATTGTTAATTAGATTGTTTATTAGTATTTAAGCATTTATTAGTCCTTATTCAACTTCTAACTAACTACTAATTGGCTGATTATTAGTGAAGTCTAATGAAAAGCTAAACAACTGTGACCGAGGCGGAGCTCCGTCAGAGACACAAGGACCCAGAGTCCTGAACTGATGTGTGTGTATATATATATATATATATATATGTATATATAATCTATATATACTGCATGTAGATGGGTATATAAACAGAACTGCCATGCGGCGGCTGTGACTCCTCCTGTGGCCCCGCCTCCTGCAGCAGGATCAGTGAAGGCTGATGACTGCCACCCCTGACCCAGAAATGGACAAAGGGGAAGAAAATGGATAATAATGACACATGTATTTCATTTCTGGTACATCTCATTAATTTTAAGTGATATTTAGTCTAATAAAGCAATAAATTAATAACTATGAATGTATCATGTTCACAAATGATCAAATTCAACAGTTCTCAGCAGCAGTCCCTAACTTCAGCCACTAGATGGCAGCATTCACCTTTTAGACTCTAGTATGAGTCCACTCATGTGACGTGGAAACAGAAAATCCTCCAGTGCCTTTAAGAACTGGTTACATCCATCCATCTTCTTCCCCTTAATCCATTTCTGGGTCGGGGGGTGGCAGTCAGAGCAGCCTCAGTGGTTCCAGTGGATCACAAATATGTCAGAGTAATGAACATAAACTCTCAACACCTTCTGGATAAAAACTGAAAGCTCTTTATTGTCGTTCTACATCAGATTATATTATATATAACATTTTATATATATAAATATATATAATGTAAATTAATATTAGTTCATAAATGGTCTAAAATCTTTGTGTAAGGCTGATAAACGTTTTCTGAGGCTACAAACGGCTCCTGGTTCAGAACAAACTAAAGTCTGACGATGGATCTGAGGAAATTAAGTTTACAGATTCAGAAGAAAATAAACAATGTCACAGTTTGAAACAAAATGGTGTTTTTCAGAGTTTTGTTTAAACAGTTTTATCAGAGTTTACAGATTATTAAAGATTAGAATTATTCTTATGTTAAAACTCGTTATAAAAACATTTCTCAAAAACTGTTTTGCTCCAAATACTTTTATGTTATGATGATGATGATTCTACAGAGTTTAGTCGTTCACTTTATATAAATATGGTTCTAAACTTTACTATAAACTCTTAAATGTTCATTTACATTTATTTAGTTAAAGTTACGTTTAAAACGTGTCTAATTTTACAAATACATTTTTATGTCACTTTAATAAATCCTTAAAAAGTCTTTTTTTTCAACAGTTTTCCACAAATTCAAAATCAGAAAATCAGAAGTAAATAGTTTGGAAACGTGAATTAGCTTCAGGGAAAACAAAAATAATAAATCCTAAATGTAAAGAAGTCGTTTATTTAAATCTCAGGAGTTTAAAGAGTTTAAATGTTTAAACTTTACAAAGTTAAACTAAACTAGTTAAATATCATTACGGTAATAATTTAATATTATTTATGACACAAATGAGCTGCTTTTGTTCTAAACTAAAAGGAATGAAACAAAAAAGTGAAAAATGGTGAATAATAATAATCTCATTCAAACGCTGCGATGAACCTAAACTTTATATTTATAATTATATTTATATAAACGCTCGTGGTGAACAGTATGTGCAAAAAAGGCCTTGGCAACGTGAAAAATAGAAAATACTCTACTTTGACTTCAGTCTTAAGGTCTACGTATAAAAACTTTCTTCTGGGTTCAAAAAGTGGCTTTTCCTTTGGCGCCGTTCTGAGGTCGCATCCCAATTCTCACTTTGTTTCCTTCATGAGTTTGTCCACTGAGGAAAGAGGAAGCTTTGGAGTCTGAGGAGTCTGAGGTGAGCCGGAGAAATGGGATGTGACCCAAACCCAAGGAGACGTCCCTCTCATGAGGAATGGGATTAATCCAAAGGTCTGTTTGACTTCCACAGAGGAGAGTTGTAGATCCAGCCCTCGCCCTGAAGGAAACATGCTGAGTTTAAACACAGGATTTTAAACATACTCAGAGTTTAAACGAAGTATTATCTAATGTGTTGTGGACCTGTAACCGTAGTAACAGCGTGGACCTGTAACCATAGTAACAGAGTGGACCTGTAACCATAGTAACAGAGTGGACCTGTAACCATAGTAACAGAGTGGACCTGTAACCATAGTAACAGAGTGGACCTGTAACCATAGTAACAGCGTGGACCTGTAACCATAGTAACAGAGTGGACCTGTAACCATAGTAACAGAGTGGACCTGTAACCATAGTAACAGCGTGGACCTGTAACCATAGTAACAGAGTGGACCTGTAACCATAGTAACAGAGTGGACCTGTAACCATAGTAACAGCGTGGACCTGTAACCATAGTAACAGAGTGGACCTGTAACCATAGTAACAGCGTGGACCTGTAACCATAGTAACAGAGTGGACCTGTAACCGTAGTAACAGAGTGGACCTGTAACCATAGTAACGGCGTGGACCTGTAACCATAGTAACGGAGATGAAGCAGCTCCTGTTCTAATCTTTATCTAACCAGAGCTTAATCTCGATCCAACAGAAAGTGTCATTTTTCACAGATTGAAAATGAAAACAATATTTTGCAGAAAAGTGAATAAAGTAAACATTAGAATTCCCTCCTCTTCTTTTTCATAAACCACTTCTGTCGCTCTCAGCTCCAGTTAGAACCAATAAAAAACATCTGAAAAGTCTGTGTTTGGTTTTTACTTCAATCAGTTATTGGTTACTCAAGTAGTTACTCGAGTATTACCTGTTTGGTGAAGTACTAGAGTAGTACCTGTTTGGTGAAGTACTGGAGTAGTACCTGTTTGGTGAAGTACTGGAGTAGTACCTGTTTGGTGAAGTACTCGAGTATTACCTGTTTGGTGAAGTACTGGAGTAGTACCTGTTTGGTGAAGTAGAAGTACTGGAGTAGAACCTGTTTGGTGAAGTACTGGAGTAGAACCTGTTTGGTGAAGTACTGGAGTAGTACCTGTTTGGTGAAGTACTGGAGTAGTACCTGTTTGGTGAAGTACTGGAGTAGTACCTGTTTGGTGAAGTACTGGAGTAGTACCTGTTTGGTGAAGTACTGGAGTAGTACCTGTTTGGTGAAGTACTGGAGTAGTACCTGTTTGGTGAAGTACTTGGGCGTCCAGGGCGTGTTGTTGGCGTTCCGATGCCTCTCGTCGTTCCGCTGACGTTCTTCCAGATTGTGTTTTTGTTCCGTGGCCTTCTCCAGGTTCCCGTCCTGCAGAGACTCCGTGACACGCTGCCACAGCCGCCTGGGGGCAGACACAGGGTCAGACACAGGGTCAGACACAGGGTCAGACACAGAGTCAGACACAGGGTCAGACACAGAGTCAGACACAGGGACAGACACAGGGTCAGACACAGGGACAGACACAGGGTCAGACACAGGGTCAGACACAGGGACAGACACAGGGTCAGACACAGGGTCAGACACAGAGTCAGACACAGAGTCAGACACAGGGACAGACACAGGGTCAGACACAGGGACAGACACAGGGTCAGACACAGGGACAGACACAGGGACAGACACAGGGTCAGACACAGGGACACGCTGCCACAGCCGCCTGGGGTCAGACACAGGGTCAGACACAGGGTCAGACAGAGTCAGACACAGGGACAGACACAGGGTCAGACACAGAGTCAGACACAGAGTCAGACACAGGGACAGACACAGGGACAGACACAGGGTCAGACACAGGGTCAGACACAGGGTCAGACACAGGGTCAGACACAGGGACAGACACAGAGTCAGACACAGGGACAGACACAGAGTCAGACACAGGGTCAGACACAGAGTCAGACACAGGGTCAGACACAGGGACACGCTGCCACAGCCGCCTGGGGTCAGACACAGGGTCAGACACAGGGACAGACAGGGACAGACACAGAGTCAGACACAGGGACAGACACAGAGTCAGACACAGGGTCAGACACAGGGTCAGACACAGGGACAGACACAGGGACAGACACAGGGTCAGACACAGGGACACGCTGCCACAGCCGCCTGGGGTCAGACACAGGGTCAGACACAGGGTCAGACAGAGTCAGACACAGGGACAGACACAGGGTCAGACACAGAGTCAGACACAGAGTCAGACACAGGGACAGACACAGGGACAGACACAGGGTCAGACACAGGGTCAGACACAGGGACAGACACAGGGTCAGACACAGGGTCAGACACAGGGACACGCTGCCACAGCCGCCTGGGGGCAGACACAGGGTCAGACACAGGGTCAGACACAGGGACAGACACAGGGACAGACACAGGGTCAGACACAGGGTCAGACACAGAGTCAGACACAGAGACAGACACAGGGACAGACACAGGGTCAGACACAGAGACAGACACAGGGACAGACACAGGGTCAGACACAGGGTCAGACACAGGGACACGCTGCCACAGTCGCCTGGGGGCAGACACAGGGTCAGACACAGGGACAGACACAGGGTCAGACACAGGGTCAGACACAGAGTCAGACACAGAGTCAGACACAGGGACAGACACAGGGACAGACACAGGGACAGACACAGGGTCAGACACAGGGTCAGACACAGGGTCAGACACAGAGTCAGACACAGAGTCAGACACAGGGTCAGACACAGGGACACGCTGCCACAGCCGCCTGGGGGCAGACACAGGGTCAGACACAGGGACATGCTGCCACAGCCGCCTGGGGGCAGACACAGGGTCAGACACAGGGACACGCTGCCACAGCCGCCTGGGGGCAGACAAAGGGGCAGACACAGGGTCAGACTCAGGGGTCAGACACAGGGACATGCTGCCACAGCCGCCTGGGGGCAACCAGAGAGACTTCACTACAGCAGCTTCTGTTAAAGCCACAGAATAAAGCAAGTCTACGTCTTATTAGAACACATCTTTTACACACAAACAATATTCACTATCTGAGGGATAAGAGCTGATTGGCTGAGAGCTGATTGGCTGAGAGCTGATTGGCTAAGAGCTGATTGGCTGAGAGCTGATTGGCTGAGAGATGTTTGGCTGAGTGAGGGACATGCGGCCCTGCTTGTGTCCATGTATGTGTATTTATATATACATATATATATATACATATATGCATATGTGTGTGTGCGTGTGTGTGTGTCTGTCTGTGTATATAAACGGGGACTCGCCTGGACTCCAGGCGGCTCTGCTTTTCCACCGGCCGCAGTTTCTTCTTCGTCACCGGGAGTTTGTTTGTGTCCATGACTCTGGTTTCTCCGCTGCTGTAGGTGAACTCCAGCGTCCCATTCCATTCGCCTTGAGCCTTACACACGATGGCGCTGGTGGCGTTGTGTTTCACCTCGGCCGTCACCCTGGCAACGACCAACACAAAACTGTCATGTATACAACTGTCTATGATGATGTTACATCATCATAGACAGATCCAGCAAATGTGACTTTGTGAGTTTGTTCAATCGTTTTTAGATCCATCCAGGCTAAGATCACAGACTTCTGGCACAAACATGTAGCTCCGCCCCTTCTGTCTAAACTGGCTCCAGAAAGGGCAGGTGTGGCTGCAGGTTGGACTCACCTGAGGAAAGTGTGGTGAGCTCCTGCTTGGTTGGAATGAAAACCTGCAGCCGCACCTGCAGCCGCACCTGCAGCCGCACCTACACCTGCTGCCACACCTACACCTGCTGCCACACCTACACCTGCTGCCACACCTGCAGCCGCACCTGCTGCCACACCTGCTGCCACACCTGCAGCCGCACCTGCTGCCACACCTGCTGCCACACCTACACCTGCTGCCACACCTGCCCTGGTCTATAAACTCCTTAGTCAGTCCTGTAAGAGTACGATGCCCTAGAGGTTCTGTCTTGTATAACAAGCAGGAGTCCTAACCTGTGGACCTTGCCCCCGTAGAAGGGCTTGGTGTGGAAGGTGACAGCAGCTGAGTACCCGCTCTTGGCGCAGCTGATGGACACTTTCCCTCCAAGCTCCACCCACGGCACGG